GATGCTATCGCGCGCCGAATTACCCAGGATCTCCATATGAAGCTTTCGTCCGTCAATGTATTAATGTTGACAGATGGGCGCAGTGCGCACCGTTGTGCTGGATACGTCTGCGAAGAAATCACGCTTGCGACCACAACGAAACAGAGCGCTGTGGTGTCCCATGATTCACCGAGTCCGCTGGAGGTTTGTTCCGTGTGCCACGAGGTTGTGGGCTTGTACGAGGCGTGGCGAACCCGGTAGGAATGATTCATTTGGTATACTGGGTGCAATTTGACCGCTCGTTTCCCCTCGCAGATCCCGGCTCGCGCCCTACGGTCAAGTGTCGGACATGCGGGCTTTGGAGCCACAGTGACTGTGTTGGCAGTCTGAATCTGATGGAGTTTACCTGTAAACCCTGCAAATCTATCGCCACTTCAACCTCCTATTCTCACTCCACAGTACTTCCAAGTATCCACGAAATGTTTCCAGGGCATTTACTTCCCGCTGTGCGACCCCAGCCACTGCACTCCTATCCTTTGCCGGTTGAGTGCGATCCTCATGGCATATCCTTGCGGAAGGGCTCGCTCGCCTTACCACCTCCTTCCCTATCACCAAGTCCATCAGCAAGGGATGCAAATCTCCCAATCCGACCGTCTCTTCGTGCGAAAACCACTATTCCTACCGCAGATGATATAACACCATTTCCCATGGACCTTCGCTCTACGCGTAATAACGCGCCAAACTCTGCGTCTAATTCGTCCTTTACCACCGACACCGGGCACCCCCACACGCGCGACACACACCCCCGAGTGCGCTCCCGGGTCACCGTGGTCTGCGCAGAGTGCAAGCGCCTCAAGCTCAAGTGCGACCGGCGCACCCCCTGTGGTTCCTGCATCAAGCGCGACACCGTCGTCCGCTGCATCTACTCCCCCGCCGCCGAGAAAGTCGACCTCCACGCCCTCCACAACAGGCTCATCACCTTCGAGGGCGTGCTAGAGCGCCTGGCGGAGGCCGAGGCCGGCCAGGCCGATGGCCTGGGGACCCTCGCCCCCCTGTTGGGGAGTGCGTTCGACGAATCGACCTCACGTCTGCGTACTTCGATATGAGTCTCTGCGAATTCTCGCAAGTACATCTAGAAATCGGGTTGTTAATGATTCCGTTCATGATCACATACACGCAAGTCCTCCGAGTTATTCCTGACAGCATTCCCCCGTGAACGCGATTAGGTCAGATTAGATTAGATTTCGAGGGCGCCCCATCAGGGGCTTCTTTCCCTCCCAAAACCACGTCCGCTCCGCTGCAGCGGCGATCCCTCTGCGCAGTTCACTACGGACTACGTTGCACTTTCCTACGGCTCAGGTTCCCTTCCTCACACCGCCGGCCGGCGGCCGCACAGGATGTGGTTCGGAAGTCGACGTGCACAACCATTACTATCGTTTCTAAACCGATTTGAATTACCTGGGAGCGCTGGTTCGTCGGCTAGAGTTCCTCTTGCTGTATAAATTTACAGAGCTGGTAACCTCACGGGACCTGACTATGCTGTTGAGTTCACGATCACTTAGGCGCCCTAGGCGCTAACTTCGCGTCTACTTTGCTCCGTGCTGTATCATAAGCCGAGATTTCCCACGGGGAACAAGATGGGCACCTGTGAAAAGTCGACATCGGAATTTTCATAACTTCCACAGCCAGAAATGACTTGGCCTGGCTTCCTGGCTTGGATCTAATCCACGATTCGATTTTGCTTCTGTGCCCATGGCATAACCTTTCGCACTGGCCTGCTGTGGTGCCCGAGTTGCCCGAGGCCCCTTCTCTTCCACATAATGCAACTGAACTTCGCGACGCGTCGGTATCATCATGATGATCGCCCGACCTCCTATGACCAACCCAAGAACCCTGCAACGCAGCGAAAAGGCCGCACACCTGTACGTCAAGCCTAGGTAGCGAGAGGGTTCTGCGACTCTGGTGCTGGTTTGCTGTACATCTGCCTGGGAACATCGATCGTGGTACCTGTATGGCCATTGCTGAGCGCTTGCCCTGAATACATTCTGCGCCTTGCCGTTCTGGATCTTGGTATTAAATATACATTCCCTTCAAGGGTACTTCCTTGCTTCTACTCCTTTCCTCCCTTATTCACCCGACTCTCGCACCCGCCCAATTCATCTCCGTCCGCACACAAGGCTCCCACGTGGATCAATCGTCTCTGCCAGGATGCCAATCGACCTCCGCCAACCCAGCCGACTTACTTGCCTTCCCCTGGATCCCATCTCCAGGGCAAATTGGTGCGAACGAGGGTGCAAGAAAATGTGCAGCTGCCCACTCCCACTTCCTATGTTAATATTAGGAATTCAGGCTTGGCGGCTGATTGCGAACAATTCTTTCTCTCATTATTCCACTGGCTCTATCACATGTTCCCTTGGTTATAAATGTTGTCCATCCTAAAATATTAGGCATGTTCTCGGCATGCTAGACGGCTTTCGGTGCGAAAATATGGCGGTCTAAGTGCACTTTGAATAATCCGACACTTTTATAGGCATTTGTATTCGTAAAAGTAAGTGTCGCAAAAGGTCAGTTCCTGCGACACTTTTATTGACCGACTTCCAAAATTTCCGACACTTTTATTTTCGAGGTACAGTGTACAAGTTCCGACACTTTGATTCTTCAAGTTGACTCTTTCCATCAGAGTTTCTTGAATGTAACTACATTTATGCGGACTAGCTAGCTCACTGGGCTTGTACTAAGTAACACCACAAAATTGGGCAAAGGACGAGTCCACGCCATCTTCGTCACTTCGTCACTTCGCGTAGTGTTGTGGATCTTCGTCACTTTGATGGCAATCTGTGAAAGTTCGTGACTTTGATGCTATTCTGTGAAAGCTCGTTACTTTGTATTCCGGGCTTATCAAGCGGCGACTCTCCGGCACATCACAGAGTGATGGGAATCAGCAGGTTGCCGAAAGGGCCGGTTAGGTTCGGGTTAGCGGGTTAGTGGTTAGGAGGTTAGCGGTTCGGGTTAGGAGGTTAGGGTTAGTGGTTAGTGGTTAGAGGTTAGTGGTTAGCAGTTAGAGTTAGTGGTTAGTGTTAGGGTAAGGTATCTATATGAAAAAACTGCCCGGCCTTGTGTTGAAGGAACAATAATGACCGATATTCCGGGTTCTGGAACGTGCCGAGTCAAAATGACGAACTTTCGCAGAAAACCAACGAACTTTCATTAAATGCCATCAAAGTGACGAGGTTTCGTGAAAATAAGCGAAGTAACTAAGTGACGAAGATGGCTACTACCCGCAAAGGACCATCTACATCGGTTCCACCTAGCGGCCCCTAATCGTGTTCGCCCCTCTCCTGCCGGATGGGATGATCCTGGTGGGCCCGCGCGGGCGACTCAGCCGGTAGATGTGTGCCGTGATGGGACGCGCTGTACATAGTGCACACCGCCCGCCTGAAGCTGTCGCATTTTTTGACCTTTCGCTCCTGGCCGCGTGACTTTGACCTATCTACCGACTGGTTATCGTTTATTCACACCCCCGATTGGCTCCTTGACTTGGTTTCCCTGTTCTCATTCCCTCACCTCCCACCCGCGCTGTACCGAATACCTCCCTGTTCCATCACGAACACCCCCCATCCGTTCTCTCGGCTTGTGGCCGTATCATATCTTTATTTGCTCGACACCCCTTCCTTATTCCCCGACCGGCCACTCGATTTCTCTGGGGGCCATGCAGCCTGAAATTCACCCTAAGATTGAACTAGCAGCCTATAGGATGAATTTCACAGGCCTTAGGTTGAAAAGCAGGTGGTGTCCTATAGGATGAGAACCCCTCTAAAACCGTCACTTTCAATCTATTGTCCTGCCGACTTTTCCGGGTGTTTATCAACCTACTGTAGTATAATCTGGGGTCATCCTATTGACTGCTGAGTAACAAATCGGCTTTGGATAAAATGAAGGAGCAATTATATTGATATAGCGTATAGAACAACATACATACACTGTATGCTTGCCGATAGCCACACCAGCATTCATACATCCACACCTGCATCGTCATCGTCACGAATCCGGGCAACGCCACGCCGGTATGCGGTCTATATAAGTATAGCATGTGGTGCCCCCCCCTAAGAAGCAACTATGTCGCACAGGTGTTGAGCAAAGAAAATAGGGTAAACAGTAATTAGTAAGGATTCTACGAAGAAAATGGCCCCGCACCGAAGCAGTGTTATCCCTAGTACCCTTTCTAAACCACCCACGCACGAGAAGAGTAACATGTCGCCGGTAAGGACTTGCGGAGAAGACGCGGTCCAGAAGCAGGATCAGAAAGAGATCAAGGAGAAGGATTTGACAGGAAGGGCTTGAAGGATACCATCCCTTGCGAGTACTTGACAGCGTTTGACCGAGGCGATGGATCGGGAGCACGAGACAGAGACAAGTGTCTTGAAAGGGTTGGAGGTATGACTTGAAGACTTTGAGAAGTATGCTTTGAAGGTTTTGAAGGTCTTGAGGGTCTCCAGCGGGACTGCAGGCCAGACGGCGGTGGGAGAGTGGGAGAGAAGAGACCGTAAGAGACCGGAAGAGACGACGACGATCAACTGATCTTGATGTGGTCGATCGGAGTTTGAATCGATTTCGCAGAATGTCGTTCAATTCCGACTCTTCAAGTGTACATGCAATCAAAGAGGAAGAAGAAGGACAATTTGGAGGGGGAGAGCTCTCACAGATTCTTTTGCTGATCTTGGGCCTTTATTTCAAGTCGTGCATGCTCCTATGCAAAGTCAACCTATTATAGGTTGAAATCAGACGTAGGTTGATATTCTCCGGGATACTAGCCGACGTGAAATCACGCAATGATAGGATGATACCCTTAGGATGCATGTCAACGGTGTGCCGGTTTCTCCATTTCCCAAATGCTCTCGGCCGTCCACGATGTCCGCAGATCCCTGTCATTTCGTTCTGTTGAACGGAAAACACTGAACCAAAAAATACTCAACGACGTCGTTCCAAAAGACTCTACAACTATCGTGTTGTCAAGAAGCAATCGACCATGGTGGGGATCGAACCCACAATCTCTGCCTCTCGTCGCGCCCTGGGGCGGTCCCTGAAATCGGAAAGCAACGCAGTAACCATTTTGCCACACGGCCACATTGAAATTATTGCCCGGAATACATCATTCCACGGCGCAGGAAAGCCTATCAGCATTTGATGTGAATTCGGATCTTCCTTCTAGGGATTTTATATCTAGCAAACAACCACCCATTGTTGTTTTCTTACTTCCAAGGCGCGGATGCGACGGAACCACCTTTCAGTTGGGATTTATACAGATGGACGTCTACCTCCATGTTGCTGATATACATAATATCTATCCGCCGAGAGCCAAAAATGGAACCTGATGGAGCTAGACCGGGGAAGTACGTGGCTCGCTTGTATGGGTTGACAATCACCGTCGGACATCTATATATATACGGCCCTCTGCAAAATAAACACTATTGCAATTTGGGTCTATGTAATCTACATAAATGTCTGCTGTATGCTCCTGGGCTCAAATCCTTGGTTATCGTTTCCTCCGCTGGCCTCTCCCCAACTGAACAAGTCGACAGGAACTGGCAAGAACAAACCCTGCCAAAATACGCCATCAGATTCAACCAGCTCAAGTTCAACCATTTTTGTGGCTGGCCCGTGAATGCTGCGGGTAATAACAGTGGTTTGGGAGCGCCGAAATGGTGAGCCCAGCAATCTGGAAGAACGAAGCACCGGGACTGTGACCGATGTTAGAAAAAGAGCTGGAGGATTCCTATGACCACATAAGTCCACGTGACCGTGTTTTCGTGTGATTGGCCCAGGGCCGAAGCCGCACTTTGACATCAACCACCATGAAGCGGGATTCTGGCAGGTTGAAGTCTTCGCTGTCCGCGCTCAAACGTGAATACATCCAATCTTTTGTGATTTCCTGTCTGGTCCTCCTTCTGGTGACCCACTTGATACTGTCCTTGGACGGAGATCTCCCTTCGCAGTTGCTGGACTCGAGAATTTGGGACGGCGGACCTAAACCCAATCTCATTCGAAAAAATTCTTCACTGAACTGGGAGTCTTGTCCTGATAATTCTTCATTCTTCTGCGCCTTCCTCACGGTACCACTGGATTATTCCAATCGGACTACGGAGGATACGGCCATCATCGCAATGCGCATGTATCCCGCTACGGTGCCTCCATCTCAACGATTGGGCACGATACTAACGAACCCTGGGGCGCGTAGTTGCATTTTTTGTGGCAGCAACCTAGATACTGACGGGATGCGCAGGGCCCCGGGACTTCTGGCCATGCCACGCTGCTCAAAACTGGCCCGTCGCTGAGCGTCATCTTCCATGGCAAGTTCGACCTCGTGAGCTGGGACCCGCGGGGCGTCAACATGTCTTTGCCTCGCATATCGTTAGTTTATTTCATCAGGTGTCTACCGATTGCTCAACAGCCGATAAAGGTGCCATCCGACGGATTTGCACCGCCAGCTGTTTGGCCTTGGCCATAACAGTGGGGATTTGGACTTGGATAATCTTCCAGTTTCAGCCGCAAATATAACGCTACTGCGGGCCGCAGCGCGCGCGCGGCTCCTCACGGAACTGTGCCGAGATGCTGTCGGCGATAAGGTCCTGCGCAGTGTAACCACCGTGAACGGTGTACGAGATTTGGAGGAGATGCGGAAGGTCGTTGGAGAAGGCGCATTGATTTACTGGGGCTTCTCCTACGGGTAGGCTCTCTTTACGCAGAAATACCGGCAACTATTGACAGATATTTGAAGAACGACTCTAGGAGCTACATATGCCGCAATGTTCCCGCACCATGTCGGTAGAATGGTCTTAGATGGAGGTATGCTGTCCCACCATGCAGGAGCATATTTCTGATGGTGCGACAAGTTGTTTACACCCCAGAGCAATACGGTTCTTTATTCGAGCACGGAATAAGTTCCGGTGACTCGACTGGCAAGGTATATATGCTCATGGTATATTTCATGGTATCTAACAACTGTGGCAGGTTTTCGACGGATTCCTCTCGAGCTGCATCTCGGCTGGTCCGTTCCGCTGTTCGCTCCTCAGAAACGGCACTGCAGATCCCTCTCTGCTCGCCAAGCGTATCTGGAACCTGGCATCCCACTTACGCTTCTCCCCTCTCCCCGTCGCACATCCCCACCGACCCGCGGTCCCGTCCGTTGTGCGCCCAGAGGATCTCATCCTCTCCATATTCGCCGCGCTGCTGCGTCCTACCAACTGGGCCAACCTCGCGTCCGCCATCGCCGACTTGGAAACCGGCGATGGCAGGGCAATCGCGGCCCTCAATGGCGCCGGCGGGAGAGCCTGGGATCTTGGGAATATCACGGACGCTGAGCGCGCGGGGGACGCGGGCTGGGGCGTGGGCCGTGCGATGGGTGCGGACGAGGCGGATATGGCCGTCTCGTGTGGCGACGCGCCGCCATTTCCTGAGTATGAGGACGCCAGGTGGACACATGCCTGGCTCCATTGGAGAGATGAGGTAGGTTGGATTCTATGTCCGTGCAGTCTGGCACCGAGGGCCTGACACCTTGGCAGCTCGTGGCGAATGACCCACTCAGCGGCGGGATCTGGTTCAAGAAGCTGGTCCGATGCAGCCATTGGGGCCGTGTACAGCCTCCGCCGGAGCGGTACGAGGGGCAGTGGAAAATGGGCGACGACTTGAGGCCGCCGAGGTACCGTCGCGTTCGCTACTCATTGGCTTTCGACACTGATCGTCATCGAGGCATCCGATTCTCTTCGTGTCGAACACATATGTAGGCGAATTCAATACGTAGCCCGCAATCTGATGTCCTGATTCCAGGAAGGACCCCGTCTCGCCCATCTCATCCGGCAGACGCATGGTGGATGTCTTTGGAAGGAACAACGCCCGCCTTATCGAAAACCATGCTTACGGGCAAGCTTCTCAATTTTATTCTTGCCATAATTTTCGTTGACTGCTTCATTCTAGGCATTGCTCCGTGAGCCAGCCCTCCCTATGCATCGCGAAAGCAATCCGCGAGTATGTCATCAACGGTACTGTGCGTAATGTTGGCACGCGACGCAATGAGATTCTGACTGTCTACTTAGTTGCCAATGGAGGATACTGTTTGCGAGCCGGATGAAGAGGTGCCCTTCCCGCCCCAGAATGGCTCTAGCAGCGTGATTTACGAAGGAGAAGACCAACTGGTGATTCAGGGCTTCAAAAATCTGGGATCGGTATGGACATGTTGCTGAATGAAATGTAAATCATAACTCTTACAATTTCTAGTACAATAGAGCATCCGCGATATAAAGGGAATCTAGCTGGTAAAGCCTACTAAAGGCAGGCAGATCGGTGCCCAACAGTCCGACCAACTTCTCTTTTTTATTCGTTACGAATCCTCCATCAACAACGTCGCTGTTCCCATAGAAGTATTCGTTAGGTGCAGTCGTTGTCGTATGACCATTTCGCAAAAATCCGGCATTGACAGGGGATGCAGAACTTGCTGTCTTTAAGCAAGCCATTAGGCACGAGCTACTGTCGTTGAATTCCTGGATGGTAGGTCCCTTTTTCCTGTGAGTTTGGTACGCATGACGGTTGCGATCAAGATTCAAAAAACAAATTACAACAATATCCGAGACATGCAGTCCGCGTGTGTTAAAATGACCGCTAAAATGCGGTCCGGCCATCGTCTATCGTGTATTTGGGGCAATATCTGTCATCGAAAAAAAATGAACACAATTTGAGGTGGCACCCGTGTGAACATTTCCCATCAAACCTCGTTTCTATACCAGGAAATGGCCTCCAACTTTTCGTGGCGACAAGGCATCCTTGAACTGACTCTCGGCGACGCACCCCAAGCTCGAACTTCGAGAAATGTTTTGAGGGATTTTGAATGACAGCCTCAAGACCTGTATTCGAGTCAAGACTCAAGACTGCAACTCAACAATAAACATAGCCATCAGGGGACATGTGGCTGCCTGGCCTCCTGCAACCGCAGAGCTGTCCATATTCGCTTGCTGTGAGTCTGTGACTCATTCCCTGCCACCCTAAATGAGTCGTCGCTCCGGATATAAAAAGATCGCGTCCAGCTTGGACCCACATCCCTTACTACCGGGGATGTGTCAACGACGCCAGACCCAGAATCAGACTCGTCGGCTAAAGCGAAAGAGTTACGCCAGAGTCGATCCAGTCTGGCGCTGGTGATCCCGGCAATCGATGAACGGCAACTGTCGGCATGATGGCACGAGAAGGATCTTATTTAGATACTTTACAATTACTACAAGGAAATGTAGCTAGAGTAGCATTTGCAAAGTAAAAATGTACTAGGCATTTCGGAGTGTGCGCCAAGGGTACCGACCATTCGATGCCCCTCCCCTCCCTCGCTGCGCTCGGGGGGTCCCCCGAACCGGGGCATCTCAGGTCGGCACGCTAAAGACTCGTTGGCGCTTTCTCTATGAAATTAAACCTCTCCCCCAAGAAGGCCGGGCGGGCACAAGCAATAAAGAGGATGATCCGAGTCTGATCCGCACTAACCGAGTCTGGCGCATGTGCTCGGCTAGGCACGACTCTGGCGCAACTCAAGGGCAACTCATGGACGAGTCTGAGTCCGGGTCTGGCGCAGTTGGAGGATCCCCCTTACTACCTTCGCTCTCACGATGGAACTAGCCCCAATATCACTGGACCCCAATAGACAGAGAGTCGTGAATGAGAGACTCGAAGACCTGTTAGGTGCAATTAGGACCGGTAAACTTCGCGCTACAGATCGCCTTGACAAGAATAGCATCTTTCGGCCCAGGTGAGTACCGGCTGAGTTGAAGGTTCGCTACCAGGAGAATTCTGATTAGCGCTCAGGATGGAAGTCTACGACGATCCTGCCTCCGAGCGCGTGACCGCCACATTTGAGCTCCCCGGTGTCAAGATCGCCGACCTAAGCATCGACGTGAAACAGGGAACGCTCGTGGTTCTGGGCCAGTGGCTATGTCGGTACCCCAGGACGCGTCAACATCCCTCTGTGATGCCAGAGGTCAGCGCTGAAGACGCCGGTACCCCCACCGCTGAATCCAGCACCCGATTTTTCCCGTGCCGAGAACTGCGATACGGCTATTTTCATCGCAGACTCCGCTTGTCCCCAGGCGTA